AACCCAATAGCAAATTTTTCAGTTCAGTCTATCGATCGGTTCGATTTTTGCACACCCCTTAGTAAAAGTCTCACATTGGTTAGGGAATGGACTTGGGCAATCCTCCCCTCATTAGCTAGCTTTTAGGATTGAGCTAGGCCTAGGACCTAATTTTACATAGTATCAGAGCATAACCCATCTCAGCTAATGTTAGGCCCTTGAAATTAAAAATTGTCCACGCACCAGATGCTAAACACTAAGCGTGAGGTGGGGTGTTAAAGAATTACAAATGTCCTACAATGGTGATTAATGATATGGGTGGACTCCTTCAATGCTTGGATAATCATCCTTCCTTTGAGCTAGCTTCTGGGGTATGAGTTATGCCCAAGACCTAATTGAACAACGGCAATGTAGGCTAAATATTTGAGAATACCCTTTTGTAGCAAAAAGAGCCTTATGCCTATCAATCCAGTTGTCCAGACTGGCTGACAACATAAGCCCAACAACAACCAACATAGACTTCCTTGAAGGAAATGACGCAAGCTCCGAGATACTACTTGCATGTAAACCAAATATCTCATCAATCATAGTTTGTCGTCATCAAAACATGGAAATAAAAGACAAAAATGACAAAAGCATAAATAGGGTGATGATGGATGATAATAACTTAAAAATGTTAATGAGGTTTGGTATTACAAGTGGACCATATACCTTATTGAAGTGCAATTCGTTAACTAAAATGAGACAAGTCCACAATAGGTGCAACATGTGAATCATTCGGCCTAATATTAGACATGGGTGATGATAATAAATTAGAAGTTGTTGCATTATGGCTGGGATGTAACTTCAGAGCATGAGTAGCTAGTTTATTCTTCTGAGGGCTAAGTTATGAACAAAACATGTGCTCCCAAAAACGCGGGGAGGGGGAGTATAAAGGTGACTAAGGAAACAAAACTAAATGTGGAATCTAACTTTGAATGGAAGATAAAGGTATTCAATTAATTAAATGGTGAGATGAGAGAATCACAACACCCTAAAAACACAGTGGGACATTAAATTGAATGAGAAGAGTGTAAGTAGCCTCAATGAGGTGTCTATTCTTCCTCTTCGCTACACCATTCTATTGAGAAGTATATATGAACAAGATGCCGAATGAATGATTCTTTGAGAAGCCATAAGCTGCAGAAACTGGGAGGATTAGTGTTCTAAGGCATTATCACTGTGAAAAGTACAAATAGAAACACCAAAATGATTTCATATTTCACCACAAAAACTCGAGATTAGAAAACAACTTTGTTAAGAAGTCCCACATCGGTAGAGGGATGGAAATTTGGTCTCCTTATATGGACTTGAACAAACCTCCCCTCATTAGCTAGCTTTTGGGGTTGAGTTAGGCCCAGGTACCATATCTTTTTAGATGAGATGGTCACACACTTCATCATGGTATCAAAGTCAGGTCCATCTCAATTTGTTGTTCACTGATGTTGGGCCCCCATTTAGAAGTGTTCATACTCCAGTTGAGGTCTGGGAGTGTTAAGAAGTCCCACATCGGTAGAGGAATGAGAATTTAGTCTCATTATATGGACTTGGACAAACCTCCCCTCATGAGCTAACTTTTGGGGTTGAGTTAGGCCTAGGTGTCATATCTTTACAAACTCAAAGCAATATTTGTTTGAGAAAAGGGTAACCTTGTATTCACACCAAAAGATTCATCATCCAAAAAATGATGAATCGGAAACTTACATCCCACATAGGGCATTCTTTACAAGTTTCCTATAAAATCAACTAATTCTACTATCTCCCCTATCAGATTTTGTTTACACCAAAAAAACAAAAGGCTTATAAGCGAAATGGTCTGATGGACCCTTATACTTGTATTAGTTTGTATTCTGGACCTTTTAACTTTGTTCTTTGTCAACTAAACCCTTTAACTCAATAAAACTCAACATTTTAAATTCCTTTGACTTTGTGTGAACTTCAAACGCCCATTGAAAATGACACATCATCATCCACATCAGATTTTACATGACACATCATTTATTATTTAATTTTTTTTTAAAAAATATTTTTTTCTTCTGTTTTCACTCCATTACTCCCTTCATTGTTACTTGAGCAACTTCTAAAACCCCTTCTTCCATTGATACCAATGAATTACCATTATAATACCTTAATATATTTTAATATCTGTGCATAATTCTACACAATACACTTCATCTAATTTCATAAAGATATTCAACAATTACTTTTCACCATTCAAAACTACCAGATCTTATCACTTTACCCTAGAAAAATGAAGAGAATGACAAATCAAGAACAAATTTGATAGCAAAAGAGGTCAGGATACTTATTAGACGTATTTCTTCCAACAACTATGTGTATCACACCAATTTTTTGAATTTTCCTTTGTTTATTATGTTCAGCTTTTTTACACAATTTCGTTTTTAATTTGGGGAAAAGAGAAAACGAAAAAAAAAAAGAGAAAAAGAAATTGGAAAGGAGCGGGGAAGGGGAGAAAGAGAGAAATGGGGGTCTGGGTGGGGAAGAACAGGGAAACTGAAGTAATGGTAGAAGAGGAAAAGAAATGGGATGGGTGGGGGGAAAGGAGAGAGAATGATATATTTATTTTTAATTTTTTTTTCTTCTTTTTATTCTATTTTTCTTTTTTCTTTAAATTATTTTTAGTCTAAATTCTTGTGTCTACACTCCTTTTGCGCGTGGAATCACGTATTTGTTCCAACTTATTAATCAAGTTGCTACATAAGCCTGGTCAACGGTCAAAGAGATTTAAAATGTTAAATTTTATTGAGTTAGAGGGTTCAATTGACAAAGTTCTAAGTTGAAAGGTTCAAAATACAAATGCATACAAGTATAAGGGTCCATCAGACCATTTCGCAAGGCTTATACAATTCATTCTAATTTTCTGTAAGTTAGTTTTTTGTCCATCAAAGCATCTTGAGTTCCTTTCTTTCCAAAGAGTCCACCATATGCATGCTGGGATAGTTCTCCACCAAAATTCTTTTCTTCCTCTGTTGCCAATACCTTTCCAACTACTTAGGAGTTGCCGTGTTAGGCATCACCCACTATACTCCTAAAAAACAAAAAGACATGTTCCATAGGATCAAAGCTGCTTTACAGTGAAGGAATAGATGATCATTGATTTCTTCTTCTTGCTCACACATGACACATCTTGAGCAAATCTGCCAGCCCCTTTTCTGTAAGGCTTCATGAGTTAGGCATGCCTTTCTACAACCAACCAAGTAAAACATGCCACCTTTGGAGGGCATTTGGTCTTTGAAACTAGCTTCCAAGGCCATTTGTCTAGCTGTATGTAGTGTGTTAAGATTCCAATAACATGATTTCACTGTGAACACCCCCATGTTGTGTAGTTTCCATCTAGGTTTGTCAATGTCTCACAGATAGAGCTGGATGTGAGTTAAGAACTTCCAATAAATTGGCAACTTCTCCAATTTCCCAGTCATTAAATGCTCTTCTAAACAAGAGGTCCCAACCTTGTTGGCTCCAAACTTGGGATACCTTGGCATTCCTCTAAAGACTTAAGGTATATAGGTGTGACAAAGAGTTTCTAAGACTATCTTCCCCAATCCACACCTCATTGCAAAAGTCAGCTTTTAAACCATTACCCACAGTGATTGAGATGTTATTGTTGAACTTGGGCCACAGTCTTCTTATGGTTTTCCAGACACTACACCCAATGGTGCCCATAACTTCCTCAGTTGTCAAAACTCAAAACAATATTTCACTAAGAAAATCCACGTACATCTTGAATAATCATCATGAAACTAACAAAGTAATGAAATCCTAAGGTTTGGATCTTAAATATGAGCCACTTCCCAATAGTGGAATTCGATTCCCCCTAATTTCTTTAATTGTCAAGTCTCTTTGAAAAGATATTTTGTACAAACTCTAAAATTCACCCTTAAAACTAAGTCCCCACACCATTTATGGCCCTAAACTTTACTCTCCTCTTGTTGCGACCTTGAATGAGATGTTATCCCAAAAAACATCCTACCCCTTCAAGATATTGCTCCACAAACCACAACCGAAAGGCAAAGTGATACTTCTAGTGCTCCACCCTCCTTCCATAATCCCATATTTACCAATTATCACCCCTCCCCACACACACACACAACGCTTGTACCTCCACCCTGAATCTCCAAAGCCCTTTGCTCAGTAAAGCTTTATTAAAAAACCTTTAAATCTTTAACTCCAAGACCTCATTTTTTAGGAGATGTGATAGTCTCCAACAGCACCAAGTGGAGCTTCCTTGCCCCATCCACCGCATCCCATAAGAAATTTCTCTACATCTGTTCCAGCTTTTCAGTGAACGATATTGTAGCAAGAAACAAGGACATGTAGTAAGTGGGAATGCTCGAGAGTGATCTAAATAAGCACTTCCTTCCCACCCTTGGACATATTTTCTGCCATCTTGCTAGACTCTTGTAAACCTTCTGAAGAACCAGATTCTACACCATTTGATTTTTGTTCGATGCACCTAATGGTACTCCAAGATAGGTAGTCGAAAGGGCCCTAACTCTACAATTCAAAATTTAGGCAAACTTAAATCCATGTCCTCTACTTCTTGCCAAATCCCATTTGTAGCATAATAGATTCTAGGAACCTCCAATTCATATGATTGTAGGCCTTTCCAAGATCAAATGCACAACACACTTGGCACTCCTTACTTTCTCCTTGAACCACCACGTCGTTTGCCACCAATGCTACATCCAAAATCTGTCTACTCCATAAGAGCATTCTGCGAAGTAGGAATAGTCTCGTCCACTACCTTCGTAAGTCTGATAGAAATCATCTCCATTCTAGTATATTAGTTAATTGCTCTACATAATTTTAGTGTTAGTTTCTGGAAACACTAAAATTATGTAGAGCAATTAACTAATGCACTAGAATGGAGATCTTCATCTAATGACAACTGCACTTCCATGTCTACAATTAACATATACACAAATACAAAATGAAAAGGGAACAAAGTGAAAAACACATACCTAATCCTAATTCCACAATTTCAGCTTGCTGGAAGGAGTATGGCCTGGTCCTTTTCGTGTCAAGGAATGAGTTCATCTTCTCAACAGCAACAACTAACTCCTATAAAAGTATTTCAGAACTTTAGTGTATGAGCGGAAGCCATATAATATGAATACAAGGGAACAAGAACGATAAAACGGAAAAAGGAAACAAGAGGAAGAAAAGCATTACAGCAGTCAAGAAAACATTTTCGCTGTTCAAGGTGAAAAACAAGCACAACAACTTAGAAATAAGAATTTATCATCTTCTACAAGGATTACAGCAGTAGGATAACTTCTGAAAGTAGAATTTTCTTTCTGAATGTCTAGAAACTGGAACGGCATTACTCCAAATGGAACATCACAGATTATGTTGAAGTTCAGATATAGTTAAGTGTCCCAAAAACACTCTAATAGCTAAGAATACAATACTACAAGAAAATCTAATGGCAACCAATTGGTGACATTAGTATCAATTAAGTATCTAAGATTTAACTCAACATGTAACATTCTGGCCCATTATTTTTATTTTTTTAGAAAAGTAACAGTTATATTAATCTTCAACACGAAAGCAGTGCTGGTACCAAATTCCTGAAAAACGTACAAAAACCTATCCTTGTTCTTCATACAAGGATTCTAGTTTCAAAAAATTATTTACACCAAAAGTGATAAATAGTATACAATTCAGCTTTTTATCTTCTGAATCGAGTTTCACCTATCTTAAGGCACCTAACATTTTTTTTTCTTTCAGGACTATCCACCAAATACAAGCTGGAATCATATTTTACTAGTTCTTCTATCTTACATTGCTACCCTGATTGTGCCAACACATCAAAAGCTCAACAGTGGACTTAGGCATAGTCCATCTAAGGCGAATCATGTTAAGAAATAATTGCCACGTGGCTAGTAAATCCACAATACAAAATAGATGACTATTATTTCTGCATCTGCATAACATAAGTAGCTGAAAGTCATATTATTTCCTCCTCTTTAAGCTATTCTGAGTTAGAGCCCGTTTGGATTGACTTAAAAAAAGTAACTTTTAAAAGTGCTGGAACTTATTTTAAAAATAAGTAGTTATGTGCTTGGATAAAAGTGCTGCAGTTGAAAACAAAGTTGTTGATGTGTTTGGCAAATAAGTGCTGGTAAACACTTTTTTTTAATCAAAATGTCTGAAATACCCTTTAAGTTGTTAACATGATAAAAAGTTGATTAATTTAAGGTTTTTATACTTAAAAAAAAATTAAAACAAAATAAATTTATATTTTACATCCATAAGTAATAATATTTTCCTATCATTCACATAAGAATAAGAATAACAACAACAACAAAGGAGGAGTCTTCAGTATCAATGTGTCCTGGAACAGTTCCAAATGTTTCGGGGACAGGAACTAAGGAGGAGTCTCACTTTTGGACCTCGCAAGAGTTTTTGGGTTGGTGGTAGCCAATTTGAGATTCCCAAAGAAGGAAAGTAAGACAAACAAATTGAAATGGAGGGAGTAAGTAAAGTAAGGCCTCCATACCTCTATTTCATCACAAAGCTTCGGATAGAACTCAAAAAAAAATTTAATACCCTCTAGATCAGTGATCTCTTCTACATTAACTAGCAGCTTGTCTAGATTACTAACCTTCTACGCGCATTTGTCATTCTTTGAAAATCTTTTGTATTCTTGTCTCCTTTGCTTTAAACATAAAACTCTAGATCTTTGCCTCTAAGATATTCTTTTCCTCAAACTTCATCTCCAAAATAGCTTTGGTAAAGAGTTCATCATCATTAAGGTTCCTTTGCTCCTGAATCTTGTCAATTTGTAATACTTGATCTAACATGTCTTTCTTTTTCTTCTCTTGGATTTCATGATTATTAGAATTACATTCCTCCTGTTTAGCCTTAAACAGTTTTTAACTTCATTGCCAGTATATAATCCAGCCAGCCTCCTACCGCCTTGACTTTCTACCCAAAGCCCTTCGTCTCAAGCTACTGGTTCAGGAATTTGAAATAGGCCTTCCTGCTCACCCCATTCCCCACATTGTAACAAAATTGGGATATGATCAGACAGTTCTAAGTAGCAGGGATTGTGTGATGTTATTGAACTCCACATCCCATTTAGTTGAAACAAGAAATCTATCAAGTCTCGATGCAGCTACATGTTTGTTCTCCCTATACCATGTACAAACTACACCACCAAATGAAGATCAACCAGTTCCAACAACAATAACATATAGAGTGTAATGCCACAATTGGGGTCTTGGGAGGGTGGTGTATGCAGCCTTACTCCTACCTTGCGAAGGTAGAGAGGTTGTTTCCAATAAACCTCGGCTCAAGTAAAACATATCAGAATCAATAAAAAGAGGAGATACAGTAGTGAAGAAGTCATGTAGAAAATGATGGAAGAAAGAACCGTAGCAACAACAAACAATACGATAACCAAAACAAAGGAAACAACAAGTAAAAATATAATCAAAGAGATAGTAGGGCAGTAATAATACTAATAATACTGATAATGAAAACAAGACAAGGATCAACTACCTACTAACCTTCTACACCTAATCCTGGACTTCTATATTCTCTTATCTAGGGTTATGTCCTTGGTAAGTTGTAGGTGTGTCATATCCTATCTAATCACCTCTCTCCAATACTTCTTCAGTTGACCTTTACCTCTCCTTAGATCCACAATAGCTAACCTCTCACACCTCCTCACTGCGCATCTAGGCATCTCCTCTTCACATGCCTGAACTATCTCAGCCTCGCCTCCCTCATCATGTCCACCATGGAGGCCACTTCTACCTTGTCCTAAATATCTTTGTTCCCAATCCATCTCTCCTAGTGTGTCTACACATCCATCTTAACAACATCATTTCCGCTACTCTCATCTTTTGGACGTGCGAGTTCATTACTAACAAACACTCTGCCCCATATAACATAGTTGGTTTAACAATCACTTTATAAAACTTACCATAAGTCTCGGTGGCACAATCCTATCACTTAACACTAGATGTGAGGCTTTATTTCATCCACCCTGCTCTAATACGATGCGTAACATCGTTGTTAATCTCCCCATTTCCTTGGATAATTAACCCATGGTACAAGAAACTTCCTCTCTTGGAGATGACTTATGTATCAATCCTCACATCCCAATTCGCCTCGTGAGATACGTCACTGAATTTGCACTCCAAGTACTTTGTCTTAGTCCTGCTCAACCTAAACCTTTTTGACTCCATGGTTTGTCTCCAAACCTCCAGCCTATCATTAACTCCGTCTTGTCTCTCATCAAATCAACCAGTTCTAATCCTACTATTAAGTTAGATTATTCGCATAACTCTATTATTTTCACTACCACCCCTTATTTCACTAACAAGTCTTGTGATGTTAAAGTTGTCAAACCACTCATGGTCATGTACACACTCTTATGGAGACAACAAGTTCCCACCACAATTATTTCCTACCAATTTTATAATTTGAGGCATAAACCCCTATGATATGCCAAGTGTAGTTTTAGGTCACTAAAGTGAATTTGCATGTAATACTTTGTGTCCCAAAGTTGAGAACCTCACCTTCCACAGCTCTTTTGTTTCATAAAAAAGATGATTCCACCACTTCTTCCATTGGATTCAAGATAAGCCCAACTAACCCAATTGTTTCCCAAAATCTGCTTATCATTGTGTTTATGGAAGTGCAAAGCGGAAAAAAGCGACAAGACCCCCCTCCACACTTCAATCGAAGCGTGAAGAAAAGTGCTTGCTTCATTAAAGTGAAGAAAAATTTAAAAGACCAAAATAAAAAATTTATACTTGGGGCTGCCTAGTGCTTAATCCACTGTATACTGGATGAAAAGAATAAAAATCTTAAAAAGGAAATATGGCTAAATACAATTAAATTCATAAACTAAAAATATTCCTTGGTCTTCTCATTTTCTACTCTGAAGCTCTGTTTTTCTTAGAATAAGACTGTCAAGAAAATGAGATCACCAATACAGAAACCACACCTGCCATGAAGCCAAATTCTTCATATGTTTGGGGAGGTTTTCATAATCATCTTCAGACACAGTTATCAGTGACTGAATATCTTCAGATGACTTCAATTCCTCGTTCATTTTCCCTATGTTCAGAAAAGCAAGAAACACATCTTAGACACCATGTTATACTAATTTTACAAAGTTAATGATGCGGAATGTGAATTTTGTACCATCACTACTATCCTGTTTCTTTTCAGTGGATAGATAGCATCCCTCTTTCTCATATATAGTATTTGCTGCAAACGAAAATACAAATGAGACGAAAGAAATATCTCAAGTTATAAATTATCATAAAAAAAAACTAGAGCAAAGGCATCAAGAAACTTTCTTCCTCTGCACAAATCTAAAGCATAGTTTGAAAGAAAATGGGGAAATAGTTTTTACTAGTATGTCCAGATACATATTTGCGATGCCCCTTGGGGTTGAAGACAACACATGTAATATAAATCTACAGGTCAATTCACACCTCGAATTTTTTTCTTAATATCTCATCAAGATATGGCAATTTGATTCCTGAGTTTAAAACTCACCTTCAGATGCTATGGTAGCTAGGCAAACATCAGAGAGACCAAGGTTCTGCAAATTCAGAGTATCATCCAGCCTAAAAGTGTTAAGTAGCACACATAAAATCTCCTTAAAAGGGAAGCCTAGTGTACGAAGCATCCCTGGTTCACGCATAGTCCGGGGAAAGGTCACACACCTCAACTTCTTAATAATCATTCAAAATCTAATCGTATGCAAGTTGATGGTGCCACAACTCTTTCTTCGTCACATTATTTGGCTTCATTTTTTCAGGAAAAATGAAAATAAGCAAAACACCTAATTTTCTTGGCAGAGGAAAGCTATGTTGAACATGAACCTGCACTAAGTTCACCAAGTAAAAATATCCACTATTGTTATTATGCTAAGAGCATAAAAGTTTAGAAGGATTCAAGTACAACATTTGAGTTTGATTAGATAAAACATTCATAAAGGATACAAAGGATCATCTTCAATTTTCTTGAAGTCTAAGCTGCAGTCATAAGATAAATCTTCTGAAACATTAGGGTCCTCTTCTTCTCCTTCGCTATCTTCACCAATAAGATTGACTTGTGGAGCAAGGAAAATAGCAAACCAGTCAATAAGTAATTACAACACAAAATGAGATGATTAATCATTCAAAGCGAAAGGCAGAATGTTAAACGATAACCAGAATTTCTAATGTTCCCCAATATGACAATTTAACATGTTTAATTGTACAACGATCGAGGCTTTCAAAGACTCCTGAGTTGGTGATTCGTCACCAGGCAACACATCGATAAAGTAAATGCTACAGACTATAGAAACCTAATACTAGCTCTAATGGACATTCCCTAACATATTCTTGATACAATTATTTCTAAAATTAACTCACATGGCAATTGAGTATGAAAATGTTCATACTGTGGAATTTCCAGATTTATTGACCTCAAGAGTCAATCTTGTAGCAATTTCATGTATTTACAGGTTACAACCCAAAAATTGACCCTTAAATATGTAATAATCCCTTTCTCACTAAAAGATTGAATTTAGAGCTTTTCTTTTCCTTCCTTGGACTTGTGGGAGCTTGGAACCATATTTGTCAATCATATAATGCTAAAACATGGTTATTTGTCACATGATCCAGTTCTATATTTTTTTTAAGATTTCAAAAGAGGTCGGACTTCGGCACACCTATGTGCCCAATTCAAAAAGGTAGACAGGAATACAGCACCTCCACCAAAAAAACCAATGTATTTGTTTTCTGAAAGAGAAAACTACAAGATAAAACATTTAAAATAATTAGAATAGAGTAGTACTAGCTCCAATGAGCATATCCCAATTTTAAAATCTTCTGAACATTTAATGGGAAACTTAGCAGGATATTCAAAATGGTCATGTGACACTCAAAAGACCTAAATCACTCGTAATCAATGTAGACTTGACTAAAGAATAACAAAAAAAAATAATAGGTCCGGTTTTAACCAGGTAAGTGTGAAATTGACAAAACCTCTAGTTTAAGATCTCTATTTTTTGAGGGTAAAAATTTTATAAGCAAAGTAGAAATGGAATGATTTAGACCTGAATGTAACAGAATTATTAATAACAACCATAACATTCATTGATTGATTTTACTTACCAGAAGCAATGTAGCCAAGATTATGGAGACGGTCCTGAAGGGACAGAAGATCAGTTTGGTTCTTCTTGAAAACTTCATTGCAATGGCCCAGCAGCTCCTCGAACGACACCGTTCCACAAGACATGGACTCCAGCACATTGAGGTCACCGCTTAGTGACATTACTCTCTGGTTTAGGCTTTGTACAAAGGTCGTCGATGCTGAATCTGTACAAAGCTAGACTGTACAGATTTATTTTGAAAGAAGAAAAAAAAAAAAGGTAAAACTGTAGGTAAGTTATACCAAGGGGTATGGGGCGACGATCCACGGACTCTTTGAGGGCGTTGCAGCTGTTTTCGAGATTGTTACAGAAAACGGCCATGGTTTTGCAGAATTTGCCTATTGAGTCGTCCATTTTTAGTTTGAGGAAGAAGGAGAAGCGTATCGTGTTCTACGCGGGAGTGGAGATTTTTGAGGTTTGAAAATGGCAAGGAAAAAATAAAAAGGAAGAAAAAGGGTAAAAAGAAGGATGAAATGCAATTTATCTTTTACAAAGATATCAAACCCAAGAGGCAAATATGGAAAAAATTTAAAATATTTATTTTGAACCTTTAAACAATTTAATTATTTTAAATAATAATTAAAAAAAAAACTCACTTAATATGAAATAGATGGACTAAGATGTAATTAAACAAGAAAAAGTATAAAATAAATTTATATCTCTTAGTGATAATTTACAACAAAAATAATCATTTATTTATGGAGCAAAGCTGATTGGATCTTAAAGTTAGGGTTTCTAACTTTTCATTATAACTTGATAGACATAAACTATCATTTATAACATTTTTTTTAAATGTCAAAATAGATAATATATTTTGAACCTTTAAACAATTTAATTATTTTAAATAATAATTAAAAAAAAATTCACTTAATATGAAATAGATGGACTAAGATGTAATTAAACAAGAAAAAGTATAAAATAAATTTATATCTCTTAGTGATAATTTACAACAAAAATAATCATTTATTTATGGAGCAAAGCTGATTGGATCTTAAAGTTAGGGTTTCTAACTTTTCATTATAACTTGATAGACATAAACTATCATTTATAACATTTTTTTAAAATGTCAAAATAGATAATATATCTTGTTAAAATCTTGTTAGAAAAAGTTTAATACAAACACTCTAATGAAAGGAAAAAATCCACAGATCCAACAATACATATTTAAGCTGTCTCATTAAAAATCTTACAGAAATTCCAATGACAAAACCTTTTATAGGAAAAAGAGTACAAGGCATACTAATTAACCTTCCCTAATAAAAACATTAATTTAAAGTCTTGAATTTTCTCATTCCAATCTTGTGCATCATGTTCTCAAAAGTTGCAATTAGTAGAGACTTGATGAATAAATCACCTACATTATTATTCGAACAAATCTGTTGCACATTGATAACGCTCAAACACATGTTTTATAATTCAACGTATACATAGTCATTAGTAATAAAGAACCCAACGAGGATGTGGGGTTAAATTCCATAAGGAATGGTAAATCTAGACTTCAACCACGGAGTAAATCCATGTACTAGTCTTTTGTAAGTTGTTTATTTGATGTTAACATAAATACAAATTTGAGAGATTTCAAGCTATCAGTAATGAGATTGATTAACAAATTTTTAACTAGAGTAAAGGACAAAGTAATTTCACAAGTAAGAAAAGGAATCTTGGGAGTGTGCGTAATTGAATGTCAATTTCAAATGTGGGTAATTGTGTTGCTCAACATAGTTTATTCTTAATAGATATGCTAGATTAACGAATACGATAAATATTTATGGAAAAATGTACTGTCGATTTCAATGGTTAGAGTTCCAAAAGGAGATCCACCGAAGTGCACTATGTGGACTCCATCGGGTCCGCCAAATCAACCTTAAGGTTTGGTGTTCATCAAGGCTTCTTCAGCGATCTTGAGCTCCAATTGACGATTCACCAAAAACGTTCAATGACGTTAGTCGTGATCGCCGAACGAGTTTGGTATAAAAAGGCCAAGGGTCTTTTCAAAATCAAAATTTAAACCCTTTGATAACTTCAAGTCATTTAGTCTCCTTTCTCTTTCATTGCATTATTTGAGTGTTTGTTAGTATTGAGTGTGTGATTTTAAAGTCGAGGTGTGTGTTTGCTTGCTTTCACAGTCAACCCAACCCAATTACTTGTTATCCTTAATTTGTTCTTCCTACTAAGGTTGGTTTTTAATTTTAATGAGAATTTTGAGCTTTAAATTACAATATGCATATGGGCTTGAAGTCATTAAGTGATATTGATTGTTAAAATTCGTTGGGTAGCTTTCTATTGTGCGTATTGAATTGTACCCATGAATTAGTTGTATGTGTGTGTCTGTAGAATGTTAATCTTGATTGTGTTGGCTAAATTTTGAAATTAAACTGATATATTTGATGGGTATGAGCTTAATTTGATGCGGGTGAAGTCTGATTAACCCAGTGTTGACCCAATTGCATGATTTTGCCCAATGATAGACATGGTGCCTACTTTCTTAAGGGAAAATCGTCAATTCAAGCAATACTTAGCAATATCTGGGGGAAGTCTGAGTAGCTATGGGTAGAAAAACATAAGGTGGGTTGTAATGATGTAAGGAAACTAGTATTTTTTGTGTATGTTGGGTTTGGCTGCAAAAAATTAGGTACTAGGCTGAACACTTTCTTTTTGGAGGGCTTGTCTTAGCTCGCCAAAGAGGTTAGGAAAATCATTGAATATGCCCCATCTCACCTTCTTTAGCATATGTGTGACATTGGGTACTGTCTCATTCGACAGACTTGTCTTAGTCCACCAAACCCACTTGGAAAATCACTAAGTGGGAGTGGACATCACCTTTGATGCCTTTTTCTTTTCAATTTGAACTGTCATTTTCAGCGGGCTTGTCTTAGCCCACCGAAACTGACTCGGTGAATCACCGAGTTGGAATTGACTCTATTTTTATGCTTGATTCTTGAGATTTTTGCTATTGTCTGATTCAGCGAGCTCACTGAAGCTCATCATTCCTGTTTGGCGATCCGCCTTCCCGTTAGGCGAGCCTCATGATGTTTTTTAAAATAAGTTTCAAAATGAGTTTGATTTTAACTAACCTTCACAAATCCTATATTTGAATGTGTACTTTGCAGGTAATGGCTAAAACAAAAGTGGTTACATCAGATATGGAGTTAGACAGAGACTCTCATCCTCCTTCTCATCTGAAGAAACACAAAGGAATATCTATTAATGAGACATTGGAGGCTCCTCGTGTTCAACAAGCCAATCCTTAGACCCCTACCAGTGGGGGCAAGAAAGTTGGAAAACATATTGCCACCAAGCAGGTAAGCATTAGCTCTAAGTTAGTGTCGCTTCTATAAGATCCAACTCATGCTTCTTGTGTTCTCACAATAATAGTTCCAAGGGCCTTAAATAGGCTCAAGGCGGAAGGATAACAAACTATTTCGGAAGAGCGTAGGCCCTTGACAGATGGAGTCATGAGTGACTACCTGACCATTTAGGAAACCATCAAGTACCATAAGTTTGAGCAATTTACAAAGCTCAGACATCCTTATGTGACGAAATGGGTCTGGAAATTCTATAATGCCTATGTTGAGGCTTTGCCCAAGAAGAGAAAGAGAACTATCTAGAAGCCCGTGGATGATGTGAAAGTGTGGGGTAAGATGGTTCAGTTTCATGTGGGTGAAGTTAACACAATACTGAGCACCTTTCTACTCATGTTGATACCTACGAGATTTGGATGCATAGAAATCTTGATGCCTTAAAGGGGTGGTTAGCCACATTGATATCTGATGAGTCTTCTCCCTCTTGGATGACTGAAGGTGCGAAGATAGAGAATAAGGATTCAAACATTGTAGCTCGGTACTGGTTTGGGTTTATTAGCAGCAATATCATACTGTCCCAAAATGAATCAATACTCCGGCACCCAAAGACAGTGCTAGTCGGCACTATTATAAAAATGAGTAGATCAATGTAGTAAAATCATTTTGGAATAGATGTTGCTACGGGCTCGACAAGAGCAAACCTCCCTTCATTTCCCAGTTCTCATCACTCAGTTGTGTGAGAGAGTAAGAGTTCTCTTTTGAGGGAAGACTGATATGAGGATTACACCGGCCTCTTCCAGTGACATTCGAAGGGTTGAGGCTGAGTTTTTATGGGATGATGCGGCTCGGAGGAAGCCTCCACCACCAGACACGACTCCCGTAGTTGATCCTACTACACTAGCAGCTGAGGCCAGCACACTTTCTCTTTTTGTGGAAAAGGTAGGTATATCATCCTCTTCTACTATGCCTTCAACTTCCACTACTCGTATTGCTACTAGTTCTGCTATTGTTGTTGTTGTTGTGTGACCTACCCACACTTCTATCACTCATCCCCTTTGACCTAGGAAATGATCTATCAGATGGGAAACCTTGCCCAATCGGCGAATATTAGAGTCGCATGGGTTGAGATGGACATGCTCGGGATCATTGATAGGGCTATTAAGAAAATCCTTGACTCCGTTGAAAGATAGGGTGAGTAGGTGTGAGGGGTTGGTCGAGGGCCATGGTGTGAGGTTGGACAACCTCACTGTAAGACTTGAGGACCAATATAAGAACAAGGGTAATTCTGGTGCACTAGACACCACGAGAGAGGAGCTTGCTACTTGCGAGCGAAGGTGACCCACTTGAAGTCCACAAATATATCTATGTTATGGGATGATATTCCCCTACTGAATGCTCCTACCTCTATGCCATAGATACCTAGTAGTGAGCCTTTCCTAGTGTGCAGCCTGAGACAGCCGCAAGTATTGACATATATGTACTGATGATATTGAGAGGGCTGATGATGATTTGGCCAAATAGAGAAGAGAAGGAGTTGAAGAGCAAGGAGCATGGGATTTCGCAGACTCTGAATGAGATGCAGGAGATCGATGAGGTCATTTTTTAGGTGGCCCTAGATAGATCCCTTCGAGAGACTTCAGTTGTTGATCCTAGTGGAGTCTCTTTAGACTCCACCATCCATTTGAGTGTTGAAACGGGCACTGATGCCGAGTTGAGTCTTCACTACTACCTCTGGTGATCCTATTGTGGGGCATTGATGCCCCGAATGATGCTTCCGTTCCAGAGACTCAAGATGAGAGTGCTCCAAAGGCATAACCTCTCTGGGAGACCCTTCTATTTGAGCCTTCTGTACTTATTATTGTCATTTCATTGAGGACATTACTTGTTTATTTTTGGTGGGGTGAGGGCCTTCGAGCCATTATTCCCCTTTTTGATTGTATTTTGTTACTTTTAGTTTTGGACAATTGTATTTTGTTTATATTATAGTGTTTCTTTTGGTTGAGTGAATCTCTTTTATCCTTTTCATTCTCTCTTGATTTTACAACCCCTCATGAGTTTTGAAAATCATGAAATCTTTGAAGTTTTTTCATTGATAATGATTTGAGGATAGATTGTGTTCAATATAGATATCTTTAATAGTCACTACAACAAA